CCATCCACCCTCCCCTAACCACCTGTAACGTACAAGATCTCTCGAGGCGAAAGAAGACCCTGCAAGACACCTCATAACCCCTGAGAGAGAGAGAGAGAGAGAGAGAGAGGATGAGGAACATGAGAGTGGGTCTTTTACCCCCAAGTGTTTTGAGGAAGACGCGGACCACAACGTGTGTGGTTTCAAGAGTGTATACAGTTCTTGACGTAACTCCACCTTCTTCTCACTTACATCTTGACCGTGGCGTCGCCTGAGGGGGTGGGTTGACGTGGCTAGGTTAGTATGATGCAGGCGGTGAGTCACAATAACGTGGCTGAAGTATGTTGACCAGACCACAAACTAGAAGGTGTAGGGACGACGACGTTTCGGTCCGTCCTGGACCATTCTCAAGTCGATTGTGAGAGTGACACAATCGACTTGAGATTGGTCCAGGAGGGACCGAAACGTCGTCGTCCCTTCACCTTCTAGTGTGTGGTCTGGTCAACAAGGTTACTATGATGGTTGAAGGGGGTGATGGTGTTGAGAGGGAGGGAACTATGAGGAGATAGCGCCAAGCTGTTACGACTATACAGCACTTGGAAGGGATCAGGATATTGAGGATTTGGGATGGAACGACCAGGATTGGTGCCCAACCACTTGAGATGTTGTTAAGAGTGTTGAGGTCGGTGTTGTGAGTGGCAGTAGTGCAGGGTGAAGGTGTTTCAAAATATGAAACATTCGCTACTCCGCTTTTTAAAAAAAAATATTTTTTTTTACTCATTCATTTGGGCTTTTGACATTCCGTTTCATGCCCGCCTATCAGAAGCTCTATATACACACATTCATTCCATTCACCTCGGCTCTAGGAGACTCGAACCGGGAACCTCCTACACGTCTAAGGCCGAAGCTCTTTATATCGACCGAGCTATGGAGAAGTCTTAATAGGGAAAGTTTCCAGAAGTAGCATCCTGCTGCTAAACTGGAATTTTTCGACTCTTCACTACATACACATACTCGTGTCCCGTCGACACATGTTGCAGCTAGTAGTGATAAGTTGCACGCAAGCATTGCACGGCATCAGCAGCTCCTGTGCGAGGCTCGTCACGATAGCAGGTCACGATAGCAGCGAGGATAGTCGCTGCTATCGTGACCTAAAAGCTGGATTTAGCAGTAAAAAAAAAATCCAAAGGTTCTAATATTGATTAATATAACTTTTACGGGTTTTCAAGTAATCAATTGACGATAACTTATTTCTTTTCAGTTTTCTGTTTAATTTTGATAGAAGTTAATTCACCTTTCTCTTTAGGTGTCATTGCCTAATATTGCGCGCGCGCGCGCACACACACACACACACATACACATACACACACACACACACACACACACACACACACACACACACACACACACACACACACACACACACACACACACCTACACACCACACACACACATCATATTTCTTGTCATTTATTGCAACATTTCAGTAGAGAAATTGGTTAGCCCGAGCAACAGGAGGCAGGGAATTGGAAAGTTGAGTTATGTTAACCAATCAAACGTTTGGGTGGGGGAAACAACGAATAAAAACTCTTGTGATTGGTTGCACCGAAACTGCGTGTGGCGTGCTGCGATTGGTGGATACGAGGCGTAACGCCACGACACTTGCCGCAGCTGAGCAGGGCGTAGCCGAGATGTATATACATATATATACATGTATATGTATCCACTTGCGCAGACAGCAGAGCGTAACGCAGAGGCAGCCAGGCGGTGGCCAGACCTTCACAGCAGCGTCGTGCGTATACGCAATTACCACCCTTATACACCCTCGCTCGACGCCCCTTTGTCAATCTCCCGTGCCAGGAATGAGGGTGGAATAAAATGGCCTCCGTGTGAATGCTCAATGATACATATTTTTCGATGTTTAGCCGTGTATTCTGTAGTCAGTTTAACCTCTTGTGCTCAGTCCTCGTCACCAACACTTAGTACGAGAGCTGGTGTAGAGGCGGGTGAACGTACAACAGTATTTGAGATTATATGTGTAGGTGACACGTGACGTTACGCGTTACAACTTTTGGCACCTCGGGCTGGGGGTCACCCTGCCTCCCAGCTCTCAGCGAGCGGGGGTACACCTGCCTCCCAGCTCTCAGCGAGCGGGGGTCCACCTGCCTCCCAGCTCCTAGCGAGCGGGGGTCCACCTGCCTCCCAGCTCTCAGCGAGCGGGGGTCCACCTGCCTCCCAGCTCTCAGCGAGCGGGGGTCCACCTGCCTCCCAGCTCTCAGCGAGCGGGGGTCCACCTGCCTCCCAGCTCCTAGCGAGCGGGGGTCCACCTGCCTCCCAGCTCCTAGCGAGCGGGGGTCTACCTGCCTCCCAGCTCTCAGCCAGCGGGGGGGGGGGGTCCACCTGCCTCCCAGCTCTCAGCGAGCGGGGGTCACCCTGCCTCCCAGCTCCTAGTGAGCGGGGGTCTACCTGCCTCCCAGCTCCTAGCGAGCAGGGGTCCACCTGCCTCCCAGCTCTCAGCGAGCGGGGGTCCACCTGCCTCCCAGCCCTAGCGAGCGAGAGGCCACCCTGCCTCCCAGCTCCTAGTGAGCGGGGGGTCTACCTGCCTCCCAGCTCCTAGCGAGCGGGGGTCCACCTGCCTCCCAGCTCTCAGCGAGCGGGGGTCCACCTGCCTCCCAGCTCTCAGCGAGCGGGGGTCAACCTGCCTCCCAGCTCTCAGCGAACAGGGGTCCACCTGCCTCACAGCTCCCAGCGAGCGGGGGGTCCACCTGCCTCCCAGCTGAGATTTGATGCAACGCGGATGTTAAATGGAGACTGGACACGGAAGAGAGTGTTGGCGTGTTAAGATGTGCTCACCCCACACCAAGTGAGGTACGATACATCTTTCGTACAGAACATGATGTACGCACTCACAGTACACAGTAATACTTAGCTGCACACCGGTTGATTGAGTGTTAAGAGGCGGGAACTAAGAGCCTAAGCTCGACTCCTGCAAGCACAACTAGGTGAGTACACACACACCGAGAAGCAGAGTAGACTGCTTTGGTGTGTGTGTGTGTGTGTGTGTGTGTGTGTGTGTGTGTGTGTGTGTGTGTGTGTGTGTGTGTGTGTGTGTGTGTGTGTGTGCGCGCGCGCGTGTGTGTGTGTGTGTGTGTGTGTGTGTGTGTGTATGTGTGTGTGTATTCACCGAGTTGTGCTTGCGGGGGTTGAGCTCCGTTCTTTCGGCCCGCTTCTCAAAAGTCAATCAACTGTTTCTACTACCTTTTTTTTCCCCCACACCACACACACACACACACGCCAGGAAGCAGCCCGTGACAGCTGACTAACTCCCAGGTACCTATTTACTGCTAGGTAACAGGGGCATTCAGGGTGAAAGAAACTTTGCCGTGCGGGAATCGAACCCGCGCCACAGAATTACGAGTCCTGCGCGCTATCCACCAGGCTACTAGACCCCCCGAGGGTGTGTGTGTGTGTGTGTGTACTCACCTAATTGTGCTTGCGGGGGTTGAGCTTTGGCTCTTTGGTCCCGCCTCTCAACTGTCAATCAACTGGTGTACAGATTCCTCAGCCTACTGGGCTCTATCATATCTACATTTGAAACTGTGTATGGAGTCAGCCTCCAACACATCACATGTGTGCGTGTGTGTGTGTGTGTGTGTGTGTGTGTGTGTGTGTGTGTGTGTGTGTGTGTGTGTGTGTGTGTGCGCGCGTGCGTGTGTGCGTGTGTGTGTGTGTGTGTGTGCGCGTGTGTGTGTGTGTGTGTGTGTGTGCGCGCGCGTGTGTGTGTGTGTGTGTGTGTGTGTGTGTGTGTAGCCCCGTGTTTTAGGTTGTCATAACTGTCGTGATTTTCTTCATCTATGGATGACTTCACTTTGTATTTTGTCATGTCATAGTCTGGCTCCTCTGACACAGTTCTGTCATTGTTTCTGGCGCTCACAACTACCTCAAATTTGACGGTAATTCAACCTTTTTATCAATTCTATTAATTTGCTTATTATTGATTTTTTTCAGTAAAATCTCTTTAAAAAAATGTCCCCTCCCCCCCTGGTCTAATGAGGATCTTAGATATTAACCACTTCTGTCTTGCTCAGGAATAAATTGCGAATTATTCTTAAGTTTAAAGAATATTCTACTTCGCTGTTTGCTTCGGCTTTATCAGTATCCTTCATTCTTGCCTCAAGCGCCACTAGAGACGCTGGCCCTCAAGTGACACTATAGACGCTGGCCCTCAAGTGCCACTATAGACGCTGGCCCTCAAGTGCCACTATAGACGCTGGCCCTCAAGTGCCACTATAGACGCTGGCCCTCAAGTGACACTATAGACGCTGGCCCTCAAGTGCCACTATAGACGCTGGCCCTCAAGTGCCACTATAGACGCTGGCCCTCAAGTGACACTATAGACGCTGGCCCTCAAGTGACACTATAGACGCTGGCCCTCAAGTGCCACTATAGACGCTGGCCCTCAAGTGACACTATAGACGCTGGCCCTCAAGTGCCACTATAGACGCTGGCCCTCAAGTGCCACTATAGACGCTGGCCCTCAAGTGACACTATAGACGCTGGCCTCAAGTGACACTATAGACGCTGGCCCTCAAGTGACACTATAGACGCTGGCCCTCAAGTGACACTATAGACGCTGGCCCTCAAGTGCCACTATAGACGCTGGCCCTCAAGTGACACTATAGACGCTGGCCCTCAAGTGCCACTATAGACGCTGGCCCTCAAGTGACACTATAGACGCTGGCCCTCAAGTGACACTATAGACGCTGGCCCTCAAGTGCCACTATAGACGCTGGCCCTCAAGTGACACTATAGACGCTGGCCCTCAAGCGCACTCCGCTAAATATCACCACCTAATACATGAAAAGTAGTATATTATTACGCTAGTTATACCCTGCCAGTCCGTGGGTAGCAAGCTTTGTGTTAATTCTACGTCGGACAGTCTGGGAAAACTGTGGACCTGAAACTAAGCTGGGGAAACTGAAGCATATTGGTTTATATTTGTGAGATAAACAGTGACGTACCTGGTGACGACGTCAGGGTATTGCGTCTTGAGGAACACCTTCTCCATCTCCTCCAGCTGGTAGGTGGTGAAGGTGGTGCGGTAGCGGCGCTGCTTCCTGCGGGGTTCCTCCAGGTGGGGAGGTTCCAGGCGCAGGGGGCGCTGCTGCTGCTGCTGCTGCTGCTGATGGTGGGCTTCCAGGGAGGCCAGGTCCAGGTGGTGAGCTTCCATGTCGTCCTCCAGCGGCCGCTTCAGTCCCCGCTCGTCGCTGTCGTCGTGGCCGAGGCCGAAGCGCAGGTGAGGGAAGAGGGTGGAGGCGGGCAGCAAAGGGGGCACTAGGCCGCCTAGCCGCCCGTGGTGGGCGCCCAGCATCCCCAGCCGCCCCCCGCCACACAAGCCCGCCCGCGCCATCTCCAAACTCAGGCGGGCGTGGAGGCTGGTGGGCGGCATTACGGGATCGGGTGAGGCGGGCGGCTTCGGCCGAGAAAAGTTTAATGGCTCGGTTGGTGGGTGGGGTGAGGGTGGAGTAGGCGGCGTGGTTGTGGGCGTGTGGGTGGTGGGCGGGTGATGAGGCGGGGACGTGGGCGTGGGCGGACGCTCCCTCTTGACCCCAGACATGACGGCCAACATGACGCCCTCCACAAAACTGAAAATGAAAACGACATGCAATTAACCACAGTGGAATGAGGCCACACACGGTGGAATGACTAGTTACATATTGCTTTACATATTACGAACGTGACTTGTTACAGGTACATATTTCAACCACCAAACTCACTTCACAACTCTCAGTCCAATACTGGTATAACCCGCTAGACGGGGAAAGTGAATTATTAAATTGTCTTGAACATGGAGAAACCAGAGGTGTGTATATATATATATATATATATATATATATATATATATATATATATATATATATATATATATATATATATATATATATATATATATATATAAAGCCTATACTTGCATAAACGACAAGTGAAGATTAATAATCTTTGGACAACAAAGACAACATCTTTGGACAACATCTTTGTTGTCCAAAGATTATTAATCTTCACTTGTGGTTTATGCAAGTATAGGCTTATAAGCTGGACACGAGTTCTCTCACATTGACAGTGGCTTGACGAAAAATGCAGACTGACCCCACACTCATCTGGTGCCCTCGGGAAGTGGAGATGTTTGGGATGTATATATATCTCGAACTCTCTACTTCTTTTGTAGGGTCTGATGGTGTAGTGGGTTAAAGCATACTAGTTATGGCAGCTACTGGAAGGTAGTTGTGCTTTCTGGGTTCGAGTCCCACTGGTGGGTGTTGTCCAAAGATTATATATATATATATATATATATATATATATATATATATATATATATATATATATATATATCGCGAGAGGTCTCCCAAGAGACCTACAAGTAACGCAAATTATCTTCTGATAATTACTTACTAACGCAAATCTAACACTGGAGAGACTGCTTAGAATCATCACCGGGAAAACTCCATTTACATCCTATACCAGGAACTAAATATCAACATAAACTTTCTCCGGTCAACCTGCGCTCGTTATAGCACGTCGTTCGCCTTTTAGACGCACCCAAGGCCCAAAAACTGACGTACAAGACGTAGCGTCTCCCGAAGTTGACGTAGCGTCCCGTTTTCTGTTGTGTGGGGGTCCTCTGGTTGGTTAGGTCAAGGGGGGGGGGGGGAGGGTGCATTTTAGTACCACAATTTCTTGACGTTGGGGTACGCCAGCGAGAACAGGCTGCTCTGGTAGCGTCATGATTTGGTCGTAATGCAGCAGCATCCAGACGCCTCAACGCTCGGAGATATGACGCCTCAACGCTCGGAGAGATGACGCCTCAACGCTCGGAGAGCTGCTCTAATTGTCATCACAGACACGTGATATCGTTGGGGTGGATTTCTCTTTCGTCATAAAGCTTCGTGTTCCAGCGTCTCAGTGTTGGGTTCCAGAGATGACTGGAACGTCTTGGGCACGCTCTCCGCCTCTTAAAAACTGGACCAGGCTTTTAAAAATAATTTTTTTGTATGTAATTTTTTTTTTGTGGTTAATGTGTGTGGATTTTATCCACTGTTATAAAATTATACATTTTGAATGACTAATTAATCACACAAAAATAAACAAATGTAAAGGTGTAGTAGAGGAATAGAGAACGAAGGTCAGGGAGAGAGATTTGGATAAATTAAGGTAGAATGCTTATAAAGAAGAATGACAAAGAAGGGAGCTGAGAGAGAGAGAGAAGGAGAAAGAGAGAGACTAGGCGGAGTGATGTTCGGAGAACATCTGGAACATCTGAGTCTGGAGAACATCAGAACATCAGGATGAAAAGATGAATTACATAAAATATCAACTGTTGTCTAGACGAAATCTGGACACACTCTCCTCGAGGAAAGGTCGCAGGCTAATGCTCCATCATTCCAAGGGAGGTTTGTGTCATAGGGATGATTGATTGATGAAGATTAAGCCACCCCAAGAGGTGGCACGGGCATGAATAGCCCGTAATCATAGGGATGGGGCGGTTGTAGGGAGCAGATTGGGACATAGAGACGTCTCGCTGATTGTGTAAGGTTTCTGTTTTAGGCCCAACCACTGAAGCAATAAGTAACAAGTGATATTGATACATTAAAAAGATTTATCTTTTTTTTTAATAATTGATTCTAACCCCCCTACACACACACACACACACACACACACACACACACACACACACACACACACACAGGTGGAAACTTAGTACCCAAATGAGCCACAGAGACATTAGAAAGAGCCTTTTCAGTGTCAGAGTAGTTAACAAATGGAATGCACTAGGCAGAGATGTGTTGGAGGCTGACTCCATACACAGCTTCAAATATAGATATGACAGAGCCCAGTAGGCTCAGGAATCTGTACATCAGTTGATTGACAATTGAGAGGCGGGACCAAACAGCCAAACCTCAACCCCCGCAAGCACAACTAGGTGAGTACACACACACACACACACACACACACACACACACACACACACACACACACACACACACACACACACACACACACACACACACACACACACACACATCCTGTCTCCTGTCTCCTGAAGCCTGTCTCCTGAAGCCCACATAAAGAGAATAACGTCTGCGGCATATGCGAGGCTGGCTAACATCAGAACGGCGTTCAGGAACCTGTGTAAGGAATCATTCAGAATCTTGTACACCACATATGTAAGACCAATCCTGGAGTATGCGGCCCCAGCATGGAGCCCGTACCTTGTCAAGCACAAGACGAAGCTGGAAAAAGTCCAAAGGTATGCTACTAGACTAGTCCCAGAACTAAGAGGCATGAGTTATGAGGAAAGGCTGCGGGAAATGCACCTCACGACACTGGAAGACAGAAGAGTAAGGGGGGACATGATCACAACCTACAAAATCCTCAGGGGAATCGACCGGGTAAACAAGGACGAACTTTTCAACACTGGTGGGACGCGAACAAGGGGACACAGGTGGAAGCTGAGTACCCAAATGAGCCACAGAGACGTTAGAAAGAACTTTTTCAGTGTCAGAGTAGTTAGCAAATGGAATGCATTAGGAAGTGATGTGGTGGAGGCTGACTCCATTCACAGTTTCAAATGTAGATATGATAGAGCCCAATAGGCTCAGGAATCTGTACACCAGTTGATTGACGGTTGAGAGGCGGGACCAAAGAGCCAGAGCTCAACCCCCGCAAGCACAATTAGGTGAGTACAATTAGGTGAGTACACACACACACACACACACACACACACACACACCTTTGGGTGTTGCAAAAAATAAAGCGTTTAGCTAAATTATTTAGCACACACAATCTGCGGTAATAATGTTACAATCTCGGTATTGTTGTCAAGGACGGCGAGTTTGCCGCCAGTCAGCGCCATTACTTCATTTACCAGAGGGGGGGAGGGGGGTGTTCGGTCCCTCAATTGGAACTCTATTTTTGTCCGTCCGGCAGTGTACCCCTGGATAACACCCCCCTCCCCCCCCACACACACACACACACACAAACGACTTGAGAATGGTTCAGGACGGAGCGAAACGTCGTCGTCCCTTCACTTTCTAGTGTGTGGTCTGGTCAACATGATTGATGAAGATTAAGCCACCCAAAAGGTGGCACGGGCATGAGTAGCCCGTAAAGGTCAACATATTTGAGCCACGTTATTGTGACTACTCGTCTGCGTACCCTAGTTGGTGTGTCTCCGGTATGGTAACTCTATTGCTAGAGTTACAGTCTGTAACTAGTAACAATAACTATGTTTTTTTATTGTTATTATTTTCTACCACAGACGTGGCCACACATTTACAATGCTAACCAGCATATATACATTTTCTTCCGATAAGAACTGTATAAGTTGTTGGAGCTGGAAAGAGAAGATGCTTTTTAAGAAAGCAACCCAAGCAAACAGATGTCATGCTGAACTGTTAACCCGCGATTCGACTTGAAATGCGAAAAAAATGGAATAATACAATATCTTCAAAGATACATATTAAAGCTAAGGATAATGCACAGGGCCAGATACTCCTTAAAATAGAAACTAAGAAACATATATGATGAAATACATGCATCTTATTATAAGTATAAATTATTGGGACCGCTTGAAATCACTCAAACTGTATTCTTAAGAAAGCAGGGAACAGATACATAATAATTTACACTTGGAAAATATTTACACTTGGAAAATATTTACTCTTGGAAATTCTTTTACAATTGGAAAAGGGAATTAGTTCGAATCCTGCACACGGGAATATATTCCAACAAGACTAGGAGGCATGGCAGGAAGTGCAAAATAGCCCATTTTAAAATTAGAGGTGCCATAAGGTATGCCATGGAAAATTACTTTCAACAACAATGGCTCAAGACTTTTCAATACTTTTTCTCTGAACATATTGTGCATAACTAGCCGACCTCTCACGGTGTTCAAAAGAGAACCCAACAAAAAAAACTCCAGAGATTACCTGATTAACTGAGAACAGCGGTATCCAACAGCCTGGCATCAGGGGGCCCCCTGAACACACTCTCTCTCAGGTGTCACCCAATTTTACCCTGGGCTTTCACCTCGTCAGGAAGCCGCAGATAAAATAAAAATCAAACGATAATATAATATCCTTCCTTCACCACCTGAACTACTAACACCAGCGGCGCTCACACTTGAGAGTCACCCGGTAATGAGGCCCTTCTCCATATGGAGAAGGAGCTCATTCTCCATATTGAGCCCCTTCTCCATATGGAGAAGGGGCTCAACGTCATACTATTGGGTATACGGCTCAGAACTGTCCCGTTGTTATGAGTCCACACCCAGACTGAGCCACCATGACTTACCCTCTCTCTCCTAGTCTTGGGCTGACCTCCTTATAGTTCACCTTTTAGTTTACTGTAGACTGTCGTCCCGCCTGCAATTATTTCTCTTTCCTCTTAAAAATCCTCACCAGGACAAGGTCAAACACGCTTGTCTAACAGACAAACATTTGTTACAAACAATAACGAATAACATGATAATATCAGGTAATGGTTCTACAAAAATAGCATCACTCTTCCCTATGAACAATACACTATGTTGATTGGTGTATTGACTTGAGAATCGACTTGAGAATGGTCCAGGACGGACCGAAACGTC